CTGGTTTACTTGATCAAGGTTAAAATGGATATGTTGTTATCTCTGGTAACCCTTAATGGACTTTTGCTGATCAGGACTGAACAATGAGGCTTTAATGAATAGATAAGAGATGAGCTATGGGAAGAAGAGATTGTTGTATTTTAAGTCAAGGTGATAAGTTAGTAAAATTATTTATACTTGTGATGAAAGGGGGAGTCATTTCTTTATATATTTCTTTTCTTTTTCTTCACTATAGTCTTATTTTTTCTTTCTTTTCTATTTTTTTTCTTTTCTGCCCTATTTTTTCTTTTTATTCTTTTATAGCTTGTATTTGTTTTTATCTTTTAATTATAATTTTTAATAAAATTACTATAAAAAAACAATGCTTTCAAATCTCTGCTTGGGCTATAATTCATCATAATGCTTATCCATTAAGTTCCTTTTTCTTTAAGTGTGTCTAAAAATCTAAAGAAACTTTAATACTGAATTCCTGAGTTCCTTACTTGCCATATTTGATATCACCAACTAACAGCTCAGGAGCTCGATACCACCGAGTTGCCACATAATCTGTGTAAACTTCGCCAGGAGCTGCCAGCGTTCGAGCAAATCCAAAATCACAGAGTTTGATAATTCCCAAACAGGAGACCAATATATTCTCAGGTTTAATATCTCTGTGTATTATCTAAAAAAGGATGGATATCTATGTTAGCAAAGTCACTATAAACCCCTCATGGAAAATCATCCATAAGAAAGATCTAGGTTTTTCAGACTTCAACATAAGTTGACAGCCTACTTAACATACTCATTATTTGATGAACGGAATATCAGGTGAGAAATTGCATTGCAAAAATCTGTCACAGATGGTCTGTGATGTTGTATCTCCACACACAGAATGGTTTTAAAGTAAGAATATTTTCTGGAAGTACAAAAAATTATACAACAGTAAAATACCACCCCCAGCCACAAATAACAGACCACTTCAGAGCATCCCATCCCTAATCCATACATTATAATGATAAAGCTTTCCACACAATCAGGAACCTTAATCAATGGGCTTTCCAAATACATGAACTGTCTTTTAAAGAACTGCCTTCCTACTCCCAGAAGTAGGTTCTAACCCAACTGGGAAATATTGTGCAACCTCAAAGGGAGAACAAGTAGACGTACTTACTTTATACGAGCACACAAGCGATAGGCAAAAACATTCAGGCATGCCTAATCGTCTACCCTTGCCTTTGAAAGAATAATATGCTTTGTATGCTAACCCTGAAACAGCTATTACATCACCAACTAAATGGGGGAAAACATGACACAAACATGTCACTTCCACAAAGGTGGAAAGAAGCATAAGAATGTAGTTTTGTTTTTCATTAGAGATCATCAAGTTTCATAGCTGTATGTGAGAAACTTGGAAATACAATATCAGAGTATTTTAAATCCTTAGAAATGTAAATGTATTCCCAGATACAGAACTGGCATCTCTCTCAAACATCCTAACAAGAAAATGGACAAACAAAACTTTCTATAATAATGCTAACAATTATTTTGTTCATTTCTAACTCTTATTAAACCCATTTCTATCTGAAACTAAAACCAAAACTATTAAAATAAACACAGTGCTGAATCAAAAACAAACATACTCATACAAATAATTAAGTAGAAGCAGCAGTTTACTTACATTATGACTATGACAAAATCCTATCCCCTTTATAATCTGAAATAAGTATTTTCGAACTTTGTTATAATCCAAGCCATTAGGAAACATCTCAAGATCATCGAGGACTGTGTGATCTACAAATTCAAACACCAGATACCATCGTTTTTTCTTCTTACAGACTTCCAGCAGGTTCACCAAGTTCTCATGCCTTAATTGCTATCAGGAGACAGAAAATGCGTCATAAAACTATAACAGGTGGCAGTACGTTGAGTGAGAACATTCACAATAATTGAAGAACAATTAAGTAAGTCATACAAATACTTCCAGTCTTGTTCTATGCATGTTTACTAGGTAATCAGTCCTAATGTATTCAACGGGTCTTATTCACAAGTTGCTGAAATATTACAGTCTCAATATCTATATCCCTCCGCAGGGAGGCAGGACCCATGCGATTGGTCCGCCCTCGGCGCCTGATAGACCCGTTAGGGTTTCAGAGGGAGCTGGGGGATATTCCCGTGCACCTGCTGCACGGTCAAGAGGAGGCCCTGTCTGCTGCCTGGAATAGAGAAGCAGCTGGGGCGTGGGACAGGATCGCGCCTTTGCGACCTCTCTTGC